GTTTTTTCGGTTTTTTTCCTCTTTTCATCAGTTATATTTTTTCCTGAGAAGCTTATTTAAGATCATTAGTAGTGACCCCCTCTACTTATACTGTACTCTAATATAACGACATCTAACGACATCATATTTTACGTTGATAGTTCAGGACATCAACGGCAAAACCGTCGCCGTTTCCGTTGAAACTTTTGCCAGATCAACGTGAGCGGCTACAGATCTAGATGGTAGTATGTTTCGTTCCATAACTTTCTTAAAATAAAAATAACAAGAAGATAACCTTACAGGAAAAATCTCGATTTCAATGAATCATTGAAATGATATTTAGGATGACAATGAACGTTTTACATCAGCTTTCTCGTTTTCTATTCTTTCAATACATATACACAATGAGACTTTTTATATCTCAAATATCTAAAACATGCGCTCTTATTTTTTTCAGTTTTTCATCTAAGTGAACAGTAGATAATGTTTCTTTTTCCCTGTATAGCGGTAACTGTCTGCGTCTGAGTGACGATGAATCTGGCAAGTTTGTTATTCTGTGTCTCCTACTTAATAGTATCATATATGATATTTAACGTTCATCGGTTAAATATTTCTGTTCTATTATTTGCTCTCTTTGTAGAATGTTTGTTGAATTGTTTCATCCGAACAAGATTTGATACTACATGTCTTTCCATTTAAACTCTCGGTTTATAGCTCATAATCATCTATATATCGTTTATTGTCTATTATTACTATTAATATTTCAACCCTTTGTGTTTCTAACATATATTTCAATAATTTTATCTCCGTCACCACGCACCATTGATAATCGAAATTGTCTAACAGATGATAATGGTGCTGTTGAACAAAACTGCATCACAAATAGCGGCAATCATATTTCTACTGTTGATCAACGATCAACAGAAAACGATCTATTCAGTATTCTGCAGTTTAATCCACGTATACTCTGTTGGATACTAACAACATATGAAAGATTGGATAGAGCACTGGTTGTTTATGAGTGAGTATGTTTAACTCATATAATTAATTACTTATCTTACTTTCTTATTAATGTACTATTAGAACATGGGCCAAGCGTTGTGATCATTCAATATTCATCATGAGTGGTCATCATATACCAAAACCTCTAAATCATAGTATCTACCCATTCTCAGTTGCTTATGTCGGTGATGAAAAATTAGAAAAATACAATCAATTATCAGAAAAAGTTTTACGCTCTCTATTATATTTGTATAAACGGTATGCCAATGAGTATGACTGGTTTCTGAAAGCAGATGATGACACATATGTGATTATTGAAAACTTACGACATTTTCTACGACGAAAACTATCTAATGCCACTGGATATTTTGGGTACATTGCCAAGACGCGTGATCGTCTGTATCCATCGGGTGGAGCCGGATATGTTTTAAGTCAAACAACGTTAATAAAATTAGGCGAGGAAATATTGACTAAACCGGAAAAACGTAAATTGTGTCACGAGAATGAAGCAGAAGATATTAATTTAGCCTATTGTCTTGCTCGTATAAACGTATTTGTCACTCATACAAGAGACAACAATCAATTAGAAACATTTCATCCGATGACCTTTGAAGAACATTTTCTAGGCAAATTTACACGTTGGATTGAAAATAATTCACAGTATGAACAAAAAAAAGGCGAAAAATGCTGTAGTAATTTTACAATTTCATTTCATGGCATGTCATCACGCGACATGAAATTACTTCATTACCTTTTGTATCATATTCAAATAGCACAAAGTTAGTTGTGATTAAACTTGGCTGCTTTACTTTCTTTAGTCATTTCACCTGCACTAGTCATAACTACCTCAGCTACACACGTAGACTAATCATAGTTTCCTCTTTCGAGTTAATTATAGTCAATTGAAGGTTATGCACAGTGGACAACTTTGGCTAGGGCAGGCGGACATGAGCCACAAGCTTGGTAGGAAAGCCTCTAAACACTTTTTTATAGGTTTTCGCAAGCACCCTTTCTAATGGCATGATTTTCAAAGTTTGAAGGTACATTCGTACAGGATTTCCAGAGATCCGGTCTCTAGAAAACTAGTAGAAACATACTTTCAAAGTTTGGAAATCATGGCATTAGAAAGAGTGCATAAAAAACTTATAAAAAAGGGTCAAAGGCTTTCGTATCACTTTTATGGCATATGCCCATGTGGCAAACGAAATCTGCTGTGTTTATACGCAGAAACCATCGTATTACACTGGATCGAAAAAAAAAGTAAAAGGTATGATCCCTAGTGAATGTACCGAGTTCAGGGTACCCATGTACTCAGGAAGTTCCAGCAGGGTACCCGCTTTGGTTACTTTGAACAGTTTTCAGTAACTTTACTGAGACAGGTACTTTTTCAGGTACCCATATCTGTATGTTTACCGAGGAAGTACCTACTCAGATCCCCCTATTCATAAAGTTAATGAGAAAAGCCCAGCAAAGTACCCGACCAGGTACTTGATTAAGTATTTCTTTGGTGCACAATGTGTAATACAGTAATGCACTTGAAAGAAAATGAAATATGCCGAAAATGAAAATAATTTTCTGTGGCAGATGTCGCAACTTGCCGTCGTTTCTGCTGTTCTAAACCATTGAACATGTGAATGTACATTGATGGTCAAAGAGTGAGGAAACAGTGATTTATCAATTGAAGAAGACCAAAAGAATTCAGACAAGTCAGAATTTCAGTACGCAGTGTATTCTCAAAAAGAGACTATCTGCTAGACTTGGTGTATTCTTCGTCGAGAATACACCAGAATACGCAAACATATAAATATCTATAAAATATGCTGGGCTTGGTGTATTCTCATTGACAATACAGAATATAGTATCGCGGTTGGGCGAGGGGTGGTGGTGGTAAGGTACAGCATGAGAGTGAGCCACTATGCAACATTTGTGTACTGTAAATGAGAATACACCAAGCCGAGCACATTTTATGGAAATTTATATATTTGCGTATTCTGGTATATTCTCGTGTATTGGCAATGAGAATACACCAACCCCGGCAAGTCCAGCAAGTTTGAAAATAACAGTCTCTTTTTGAGAATACACTGTGTACTGATATTACTGTCCAGTTTCTGAGCTCTTATTTTGATACAGCAACTTGATTTTGCGCAGATACATACATACATATATAGAAAAAACACAGGAAGCTGTGAAAATCAAAACTTTACCATCGTGTTAAGTGCCTCAAATATGCTTGACAAAAAAGTACGTAACGCCGCGACGCTGTGACACTTAAATTTCCTGGACTGTTCGATGCGCATAGACTAGAGATCGAGAGGGAAACAGAAGATTCTGCGACTTCCCCATCGTAAAATAAAATAGAAATTCAAAGTTTTCCACACAGAAAGCATTTTTCGATTTTCGACATCTTTCGAGTTCTTTTGATTTTTCGACCTGAAAAACCAGCTCTGAAAATTCAAAGTTATACATTCTGAATTCGCGTAAAATTCTCTATCGAATGATGTATAATAAAGCCGAAAACAAAATCTTACTGGAAGTTCAAATAGCCGGCACCTTTCGGAAATAAAAAATTTAGGGGCTATGAGCATCTGACTATTCGAGTACAAATAAGTAAAAATCATAAGAAATCTATGTGGTGACCTAAACTAGTCAGAAATAAT